CCAGAGGCTTGAAGCACCCTGCTCCAGTGGAAGGGACACAGGGGTGGAAAGGATGAACTTCAGAGTCCCTTCCAACCTAAACTATTCTGATTTTAGGATTCTAAAGAATGGCCTCAACTCACTGCATCATTCAGAAAAACAACAAGGATTTTTTTGACAGAGGCACAAAAGGTACAAGCTCCACACAACCACCTCAAGAAAAGCCCTTGGAGATATCCCTCTGCAGCATTTAAAGCCCAATTCCCCATTCAGTTTGCTCCAACCTTTTTGTAGGACTCCAGCCCACACCTCAGCCCTGCCTGCACAGCAAACACTTCCCTCAGCACCAAATACTTTCAGCCCATTCTCAGAAGAAACAGATTTTCAGTATAGATTCTTGATGCCAAAACTATTGATAATCATAGCAAATATTGTCTAGGTTTCAAATGGGCCTGCGATAAACACAGATCTAGAACTGTTGACTTAATCTGAAAAAGCTGGGGTTTGAGAGCTAGTTGAGAGACATTAGGAAAACCACTTTTGTGTGTTTTTAAATGAACTCAGAACTCTGTTTCTATGAAATGCTGCTTTAGGAGGACAGAAGTCACCACATGCACAGGGATTACCTGCACTACTAAGCCACAGTTCTTTGCACCACTCCAGGTTCAGGCTGGCTGGGATGACCAGAACTATGTGAGTAGCAAGTACAGCCTTCCACAGCTGGTTTCATGCTGGAAGTACTTAAAAGAAGAGGAAAAACAACCCCAAATTCATTTTACAATCATTACACATCACCAGGTGCTCTCACACATCCTTGAATTCTTTAATAACGGTGACACAGATCCATTGTGCTCCCAGGGGGATTTGCACAATGCTTATGAAAAATGAGCCACTCACTAGAAATCAGCAGAGGATGAGTCAGGTAGCACCTGCTCACGATGCAGATGCGGGAACACAAACACCATGAGCACACAGCTCACATCAGACCCCCCAAACACTGCTCTGATGCTGTCCTGTGCAATGGGCTGCTTTTCCCTGCATTTCCACGTGGTTTCCCACTCCAGTGGTTCAGGGGTGCTGGCTTTGCCCCCAGCTGGGCCCCCACAGGATCCAATTGCCTGGCACAGAGCGGGTGGGTCACATCTGACTGTCCTGGCACACACCTGAGACCCTGGGAGGAGTGGCTGCCCTGCAGTCACTCCCAAAGGCACTGCTGAGGCTGCACAACAGATCATTCAAGAACTCCCTCTGCATGCCACAGATCCCATTTTTAATGCTCTGAGGTTTGATCTCTTTGTCAAGACAAATGCAAGCTGTACAGAACAGTGAGTGGTCTTAGCAGTGTAATACAAAAAAATCACCTGATAAACCTGATTATTTCATACTTCTGAAAAATAAATTTCCTTACAAGACAGTAAATTAAAAATGGTAACATTTACTACTTGAAATTTTCACTGTGGCATGAAGAAAATGAGGTGGTGCAGTTTCCTGCTTCTCTTACTCAGTAGTTTAATCTGCACCACAATTTCTGCAAAATCTGAGCAGCTCTGGCCAGACCAACACTCCCTTTCCACAAGCACCATCTCACTCCACCTGCCATGGAATAGTCATGGTCATGTTAAGTCAAAAGCAGTAAAATAAAGAGTTTTCCCAAGTCCAGAGCATTCACCCATCACAGCAGGTAACACTTGACTACAGATAAATATCTGCCTGCCAGTGGCAGGACCTGAGAGTTGCTAGACACAAAAAGATTCCCTATTTTACAGAGTCCTTCGATTAATCTGATGTCCTGGGATTAGAATTGCCAATTATTCCTGCAGCAGTACAGAGATGAGTAGGCACTCACTGAAGGGATGGTAGGTGATTGCTGCCACACAAACCACTCAAATACAGTTGTTTTAATAATTCTGACTTATGAATGTTCCAGAAACAATTGCCTGTTACAGTTTTGGAGGTTACTATAAAGAAACAAAGCTACTGAGTCCATACAGACCATTCCCATAGTCCTGCTTTTCTTTTTTTTTTTTTTTAATTATTCTGATGACTAAGAATCACAACCAGACACTGGGATGAAGTGCACTCAGGACTAAGGAATTCAAGGACAGGATGACTTTTATTTACAATAAAGTGTAACACACAGTGACTGCTGAGAGTCCAAAGAAACATTCATTAAGTAGCTGTAAGACACAGCCATGAGAAGATACTGACACACTGATAACCCTGCTGAATCCCACTCAAACCTACAAATAACTAGGCATGAGCACTGGGGCTGGGAGATGAGGTAGTAAATTCACACTGCATCCACCCACCTACCCAGGCACTCTCGTCCAGCCCATGTCAACACCACTAAATTCAAAGACTACACTAATGAAAAGTGCAGCTTCACCATTCCCCTTTTTCCCACTAGAGACATCCTTGGGGAAATATCCTTGCATGCACCCAAACTGGTATGATTTCAATTCCACCCACATCTGGGCTCACTTGGGAACTAAATCCAGCACAGCCCGTCTTGGGTCAGGCAGTGACCCCGAACAAAAATAGCTCTGGCAGAAAGCTGGATTTATGGAACAGGGTGGAGCCCATTCAAGTGTAAACTGAACAAACCTGCCAGGGGCACTCAATGACGGAGGAGCAGCAGCTCCTTCCCTCTGCTCTGCACACGAGCAGCACAAAGGGGACTCTGCCATGGCCACAGTGACACAACCAACCCTTGAGCAGGGTCTCATACAATTTCCTGGTGTCAGCACCGAGAGCCAATTGCCCTCTCCAGAGCAGTAAAATGTGAGCAGCAGGTGTTGCCCGAGTGCTGTACAACACGAGCAGCCCAGGGCCAGCACCCAGCACAGCTCAGCAGCTTCACTGAAAGGCCACGCTCGGGAAATTCACATCAGCTTTCCCAAATGTCCCAGTGCAGACACTGGGACAGCGTCCCCAGGCCTAGAGGCAGGGGATGACAGCACCAGGGTTAGAAAAATTAACAGTATCAGTTAGCTTTTGACAAAAGCTTGTTCTGCTCACAGCACAGACACCAGATGACCTTGAAGCCCAGGCAGAGCTCACAGCCAGGTGAGAAGAACTCAAGTCTGAACTGTTGTCAGAGGAGAAGCCTGGGTTTGGGTAGGCACTGCAGTTAAACGGGGCCTCCAAAGTGTATCAGATACAGCAGGGATGTCCTGACAACACCCTCGGGCACCATCAGCAACAGTACAGAGAAAAAAATAAATAATAACAATACAATAAACGTAGTTCTACATTTATTGTAAGGATCCAGGACTGCTGGCTTGTTCCTCCCATGCCTTCATATAAAATTAGCCAAGTCTGTCCCTGCAAGGCATCTCTCAGTGGATTCCTAAAGGCAACCACATGCCACATTGATTTTTAAGCTATCAGTCCATTTCCAATACTTCATTACATTTCTAGGTCATATTAACCAAATAATAAAACGCCAAGAATAAACCGTGACACACAAGTTTCCTGCTAATTACAAAGATCCTACACGCAAGCCCTTCCTAATACAATTACAATGTCATGGAGTATACAAATGAGAAACAAATTTAAACTTTTAGAAGCACTGCAAAATTCATTTTAATCTGAAATAATGTTTAAAGCTCAACCATTTTCATTATGATTTTCTTATATTCCAACACAAATGCCCTCTCTGCCCCAAAAAAAATCCAAAATATAAAAGGAAAAAAAGCATAAAGTCTACTGGTTGTTCTTACACCCCACAGGATCTGAGCCCTCACCCTGCAGCATCTCAGGGCACAGGGACACCCTGTAGCTGTGTACCACAGAAATCAGCACTCAGTGCCTGAAGCAGACAGATGGCAAAATCTACAGATTTCATCCAGAGGAGGCAACACAATTGCCTGAAAAAGCTTAATATTCTCCTTCCTCAGTAGTTTGAAGGCTGCTGAGGGAGCTTAACCATCTATTGCTAGAGCCACTCTCAGGTGCATCCAACAACAGCAAGGGTCTGACAAGTGACTGATTCCAATACCCAGCAGAATACAAGTGGCAGGACAGGAACAGGCAGGAAAACCTGAGCAGAACGGGTGGGACACAGGCAACAAGTCACACTTTTATCCCAAAGCCTTCCCTTTAGCAATTATCAAATCCTTGCACAAGCAGGGGCATAAGAGTTTATCAGAAGGAGCTCCCATGAATGTTTTATAACGGAAAGTGAAAAGCAGCCGCAGACTTGGGGTCCCCTGGCTGTCCCCTGTCAGAGCTGCCCAGGATTGAATTGTGCTTGAGAGGGAACAGGCAGGAAAATGTGGATATTCCACCACATATACAAGGGAAATAAAACCATAAAGATCACGAAATGTTAACACAGCAAATCCACACCAGCGAGTGGCTGCAATGCCCCCACGGGATGGAGCAACCTTGGACTTGGTGACTTTTATTGCTCTTTTTTTTTTTTTTCTCCAAAGCAACTTTGCAGAATATCAGCTTAGGCAAGAAACCTGGCAGAAGGGAATGGCACAGGGTGCCCAGAGCAGCTGTGTCTGCCCCTGGATCCCTGGCAGTGCCCAAAACCAGGCTTGGAGAACCCTGGGCTAGTGAAGGCATTCCTGCCCATGGCAGGGGTGGCACTGGATGGGCTTTAAGGTCCCCTCCCAACCCAACCCACCCAGTGTTTCTGTGATATAGGGGAAGACCAACAACATACTGTTTAAAAGTAAAGTCTTTAAGGTCCCTTCACTTCTAAACCATTGCACGATCCATGAGGGAGGTGGGCACTGGGGCAGGTGACTCCGAAGATTATCCAGAAGGGACTGAGAGCCCCGCGGCCCCCAGGGGTTGGTGCACCCTGAGCACTCTCATCTTTACCCGGCTCTTCCATTTCATAGAAAAATCCACACTTTTGTGCGGGTTTGCCCAGTCAGGGAGCGGCAGCAGGCGGAGGAGGCTCCGGTTCCCTCACCCCCTCACACTCCATCCCAACCGGAGCGTGTGCGAGGGGAAGACCCGCCGAGCCCCGGGGCAGGGGGCCGCGCCTCCCGCCCCTCACTCACCGCAGCCGGAGGTTCGCCATGAACTCGGGCATGGTGACGGCGTCCATCAGCACGAAGTCGGCTTTGCCGAACTCCAAACTCTCCTGCTCCGCCATGACGGCCACTGGGACGGCCGGGACCGGGATGGAGGCCGGGCAAGGAGCGGGATCGAGACAGGACTAGGACTGGGACTGGGACAGAACCAGAACCGGGATCGGGATCGGGACCGCTCCCGCCGCTCCGGGCGCGGGGGGTGTGGGGTGTGGGGGTGTCACCTGCGGCGGGGCGGGGCCGGGCCCTGAGGCGGCCCCGAACAGCGCCCCCTGGCGGCCGCAGCGGGCACCGCGCCCCCGCGGCGGGGCGGGGCGGGAGCGCCCCCTGGCGGCGGAAGCCGCGCGCTGCAGGCGGGGATCGCGGCACGGC